GGGGCAGGGGATGCGCCGCCACGTGGCGCCGTCAGAATCTTCAAACCCCCTCCCCTGCGGCCGCCACGTGTCCGCGAATGCGCACGTCCGCGGGCTTCGCGGCCGCGGACTTGGCCGCGCCTGTCCACCGCCGGGGGGGATTCACTGCAATGCAGTTCAAAGTCACATTCAAGCAATGTGCGCCTGACGACACTCGGTGGATCTCTAGTCCAGACTTGCAGACTTCTGCACCCCTTATCTTCGCCGACTATGAGAAGCGACGCCTTGCCAAGGAAGCAGCTCGTCCCGCCCGACCCATCCCGGTATCGGACAGACAACTCCGCCCTCGCAGGTAGCTCGGTCTTTTAAGAGGGGGAGTGTGTTACATCTTCGACGCCACACGGGTCCTACCGGACCCGACTTAGGGCCAGGAGGACACAGTCGGGCCTAAAGGCCCGGACTTGGGGTACAGCAGGCCGTAAAGGCCACATTTTGGGACCAGACCCGACGGGCTGCCGGTGCGTTTCGGTTGGCACCAGGAGTTAGCGCCAGCGCTATTTCGAGCGCAGCGCGAGGAGCAGCGGTAGCAGCAGTAGCGCAGCAGCAGCACCAGGGAGCAGCGGCAGCGGCGACTTCGTAGCACGGCGGCCATAGCCACCTGAGGTACAGGAGGCGAGGTTCTCCTCCTCCCTCCTCGTCGCCAGTCCCCCTCTCTCACTCCCTCCTCCTCTGCCATCTCATCTCTTCTTCTTCTTCTTCAGACTTCTTCTTCTTCCCCTTCAGATTGGAGACTTCATACTAGTTGGACAGAGATCAGTGTTGGACTTCGGTGGTAAGAGGCTGTGGTACTTACCGGATTCGAGACTTGGAGATTGTTGGGGTTGATACTCGGCGGCATCACAGTTCGGACACCGTTTTCATTAGGACTCTGTATCTCCAAGATTGGTGACTTAGTGTCCTCGACATTTTGATCTTGTTTGATGACATTTTGGACTACCATATCGGTGACCTATCGGATTCTATCTCGGTGACCTTCGGTGCTGTCTACCTCCCCCACCTCCTTCGTCTCTCCTCCCACCTGTCATCTGCGTATGTGTGTACGGGGCCTGAGCATCGTCTATGCATGGCTCAGACCCCACCATCTCACGATTGTATGTGTGTGGAGTGATATCTGTGTGAGTCAGTCCGTTTATCAGACTTCCACTGCATACATGCTCTTCCTATATTGGTTGATCTTTGGTTCTGCCCCATACTCGTTGATGCATTCACGAGTATGTAACACCTAGCCTCTGTCATCAGTAGGGTCTACTGTCCAATGATCCATTACCTCACCTTGGTCATGAGCTAGATCTCTCTGTTGTTGTTATAGGGTTGTACATGGCCCTTAGTCTCCGTCATTGGTATGTACTCGGCCACCATCCGTTCCATTACTTAGTCTCCGTCATTGGTATGTACTCGGCCACCATCCGTTCCATTAC